TAATATAAAATACTTTTAACTATTTTTTTTTTCTTTAAGCTATAAAGCTATACTAATTATATTAAAATTAAAAGCATATTTACATACTATAAACTATTATATAGAGGGTAAGAGCTTAGAAGCGTTTTATTACTTAAAATAATAAGTTTAGATAGCTTAAATTTTTCTTTATATAAAATTTTTTTTTAAAAGTTTCTAGCCTAATTAAGTCTTTTCTTAAACTTAATAAAAACATTATTTTAAAAAAAGTTATTTTTTTAGAGACCCTAAAAAAATAAATTTATTTAGTATAGTATAGGCCTTACTGCGCTTTATTTTAATAAGTAGGATTTTAATTTACTTAAAGTTAATTTATTTTTAATCTACTTTAACTTTTTTTAATTAGTACTTTTTTTTTTTAACCTGTCCTCTTTTTCTTATTATATAGTGTTATTTTTTTATATTATTACTATATAGACTTATTACTTACTTTCTGCCTAGTCTATAATAACTATAGACCCTTTTTTAACTTCTCTACTAATAAAGTTAAAGCTCTTTATTACTAGTGTAATAGATATAGCTATGCAGTATGTTACTTTATTATAATTATTATATTTTTTAGCGCTTATATTTAGTTTTATCTAGGCGTGTTAGCTATTAGCTAATGTTAACTTTAATGCATAACTTTTAAAACGCGTTTAAGCTTGCGCTACTACAGTCTAATTAGGTCTATGCTAGGGCTAACCTGCACATGCTAGGCGTAACACTGCATTAAGTAGAACACTAGTGCTTAATTAATTATTTTATACATATTAAAACTCTTTTAAGACTTTTACACCTTTTTTTACTTCTTCTACACTATCTGTTTAGATCTATTATAATATATAATTAACCTCTTTTAAGTTTTTTATGCTAACTTTTACTCTTCCTACGCTGTCTATATATATACATTATTATAATATATAGCTAACTTTATAAAGACTTATTTAATCTTTACTTTCTTAACATACTCTAGATTAGCCTGCTTTATCTTTATTTATATATAAAAATTAAAAGCAACTAAAAGCTAGTCTCTTATAAAATAATTTACTAAAAGCATATATTATTACTACTATAAACTATATTACTTTTATTAACTTTAGTTTAATGCAGAATTCTATAAGTAGCTATTCTAACTATAGTGCCTTTTACTAGCCTAAAAAGTAGGTTAATAAGAGTTAGGCAGATTCTTCTTAGTACTTTATATATTACCTAATAAGTAATATTAACTTTCTAACTTTTCTAGATCTACCTTTATTTCTGTGTTATCTTTTATAAGGTAGGCACCTACTTAGCAGATCTTTTTAAAAGCATTTTTAATTATATAACATAGCCTTAGCTTTTACATTAGCTAACTATAAATAAATAAATTAAAGTGTGTGTAGCATAAGCATAAAAGTTTTTTAGATTATAAAGAAGATGTACTATATGCATAGCTTATTAGAGCCTGCTAAGGGGGACATTTTTTTTTACACATAGCTGTACTTTTATAATCCTGCCTAGGCTAATAGTGCGTGTATAAGGTATTAGGCTAATAATAGTCTTAATCTAACTATACTCACGCAGCTGCTATAGATAGTTAAGATAGATTATAATAATCTTTAAATTAAAATATATAAAACTATATATAAGCAGTTACAGTAAGCTTATAAGTAAAATAAGAAATTATAGATTACTTTTAATTTATAACTATAGTTAATTATGCAGGCTAGAGCTAATTAACATTAAAAGAACTTACCTATTACTAAAAAAATTACTACTCTAGTTTATAATAAGCTAGTTAAAAATTATAACTAAAATTTTATTTTTTACTACTAACCTAGCTTTAATCTAAGACACTGTTAGTCTCTATACTAAAAAATTAAACATACACATGCAGTATATTAGCCTCTCTACTATGTTTTAATGTTTTTATAAAGTACCCTTAGGTTTTACTATAGTTTATAGCTGTGTACTTTACGCATGTCTTACACCTAGGATACTCTAACTAATTCTAAGTATTACTAATTCTACTTATTTCCCTAGCGTAGCAGTCTTATTATGCCTTTTAATTACAGTCTATTATTCTAGTAATTTATTATTAACTGCTAAGCTTAGTATAAATAAAGGAAGTTATAGTAGATTATAGTAAATTAAAGACAGTTACATGCTAATCTATATTAAAAAGTGTGTAATGCATTAGATTAAAATAACTTTTAGGCTAATTTAGTTAAAATTTAGACTATTTTTTCTTTAAGTTACATTAGCAGCAGTTACTTTATTATGTAGTGTTATTAGAACTTTATAGCTATTATTTAAAAGCTTAGTTAACCTGCTTTATTTATTACTTTTACTGCTAATCCTAAATAGCTAGAGTTAGAGTAGGAGATTAGTACGTCCTTTTAGCTATTAGATTAGCTAGATCTAGTTGCGCGCGTTTTTAAGCTGCGTCTTAACTCCCTTCTTGCAGACCTCTAGACTAACTATGTATTTAGCTAGTATACTAGTATTATGTATACTATTAAGTACTAAAAGTAGAGTTTACTTTATGCTTATATTCTACTTTTTTTATATTATAATTACTATAATTAGTTTTTTAATCTAAACTTTATTAATTAAGTTATATAAGCTAAGCTTTTTATAAAAGCTTAAGATTTAAATAAAGTCCTAAGTAACATTATTAAAACTACTATAGTTTATAGGCTATGTAGAACCTTAAATCCTAGCATGCTCTGTATACAGACTACAGAGCGTTCTCTCTAAGCAACCTGTTAGAAGCAATTCCTAAAGAAATACACTAATAAGACTCTAGTTAGTAAAGATAGTTATTTTATATATTAGCATTAACCTAGTTTAACTTAAGTTGTAAAGTGTTATAGTTAAAACATTATAGTTAATAATTACTAAGTAGTGCCTTATAGTCTATACTTTTTATGTAAGTACAACGCACATGTTAACATAAAGGTCTATGCCTCTATAAAGTTAGTTAAATATATATATAAGTATATTTATAAAGGCACTAATTAGGTTGTTATCTATATTTAGTAAGAGAATAAAGTTGCCTAGTATTTAAACATGCGCTATATTAGACTAACTAAGGCTATTTAGTAATTAATAGAGTTTAAAGTTTATAAAAAGAAGCTTTTTATTATTTAATTAGCAGTGCATTTACTAGAACAGCATATAGTCACTTTTTATAATAAGAATAGTGCTAAACAGGTAGAGATTGCAGTTAAATAGAAAAGATTATTATTAATAAAATAGTTAAAGTATAATACTTTTTATATAAATAAGCATAATCTTCTTTACTAGGACTTTCTAACCTAGTATTATTAAAATCTAGGGAAAAACAGTAGTAAATAGACTTAGTTCTAACATAATTAGTACTTTATTAGTTACATTTACTTTTATAGTTTTTTCTTTAAGAAGCGTTTTTATTTTAGGATACTTCTTACATAAATCTTAGGTGTAATTAGTTTTAAATATTTTTACATAGTTAATAGTTAGATCTAACTTACTTTTAAGGACACTTATTTAGCTTTTAATTTTTTAGTTAAGAATAAATTATAGTAGTATATATTTTTTAAGCTTTAGCATTTAGCACTTACTTCTAAGTTACATTATGTCTTTCTTTAGGCCTTAGTCTTTAGAAATATAGGTAATTTTATAGCATTATAGAATAAGTTCTTCTAACATCTATCTAATAACCTGCCCCTCTGCTTAGAATAAATAGTGTTACCCCTTAGCATTACTAATTTTATAAAGAATTTATGCCTATAGCTAATTAACTAAGCTATGCTTAAGTTATTTAAAAAAAACCTTTCTAATTTTAACATGCCTATGCTATAAAGATATTAGGTGTAGAAGGCTGTTAATTTATTAGTTACTAAGCAGCTTAATTATAATACTATAAAGTAGGATCTTAATTATACTAATATATATAATAAGCTAAATAAGGCCTAACTAGAAGTTTTTTATACTATTACTTAGTTTATTTTTACTACACTATAATTTAGTTGCTACTTTGTTTAAGGCCTTAGTAAAACTAAAAAGACTTTTTTATATAAGACTATTTACACTTATCTTTAGACCTAACACAAGATTGTTTTATGTGTAGCATTATCTAGCATTACTGCACTTCTTCTTTCTAGCAGCTGCACTGCTTATTATTAGTTTAAGATACTTATTAATATTAAAGACAGATCTACCTACTTTATATATATAAACTCTCCTACTGCAGACCTTATTTATTAGATAGATTTAATTATATAAGATAAAGTTCTAATGCAGTACTAGTACTGCTTTAAAGCAGTTAACTATACACTATAAAATATTATAAAGAACAACTCCCTATTTAAAGGTATTCTAGTGCTGTTAGGAGAGGACTTTACCTAAATCCTTTCTATTATTTTGTGCAGTAGGAAGTTACAAACTATATAAGCCTACCTTTAAAACTTTTATTTATAGCTATACTTTACTGTTCTACAGCTAATAGAGAATATAAGAATAAAGTAAGAACCTGCTAACTAAGAATATACTTAGTAGATATTAGACTTAGCTAAGTATAATAAGAAGTCTATTACACTTCTTTTTAAAATTTAGTAGTTTTAGTCTATATTTG